AATAACCCCGATTTATGACTATATCGGGTTTTCATAACGTATTTGTTGATAGTTACCTGCACGATTACAAGAAAAATACCGATATGGATCATAAACATAAACAAAATGACGTTGTTGGCCCGAATCCTATACTAATAGCAGTGAACATATGTTTTGGCAGATCTATTTAAGCAATGTTAAATCATGTTTATTTTCGGGCCAAAAACGTCATTTGTTTATGTTTATGATCCATACCGGTATTTTTCTAGAATTTGTGGTTACCTGTTAGCGAATTTCCCATATAGGGAATAAGCTATTACCGTAGTACTCATGGTAAGACCTGGACCCAGGACCGATTTATTTTTCATTTTGAGGTCCCTAGAGGCCAAAAACACCATCCGTTCAAATTCATATATATATATACATATCTATAAAAATAAAATTACAGCTTTGTCTGTACATTGCTTAGAATCGTGCAGTTTTTGGTTATTTTTACGTTTCATAGCCTAAGAAAGCCGAAACGAGTCTTATCTCAATTTCTGTCTGTCTGTCTGTCTGTCTGTTGTCTGTTTGTCCATTCTGTGATTCCGTCTGTAACGCCAAAATGTCATTTTACGCGGCATACTCCTAGAAAACTAGAGTACCGATCACGGTTCTAATCATTTTTCTGTATTTACTGGATTGGTGAGTGTCTTTGGCTATAAAAACATGGCCTCGCTTCTTTGAAAACAAAATAACAAACCATCAAAAACCTAATTTTGTTTGATTTTTGTAAAATTTCCTCCCAGTGTTTACTATTACATTTGATTAAATAACGATCAGCTGTTTGGATTAGTTCTCACTTCTAGCTGTCACTGATATGTTTACATTAAAATTTGTTTACAAATACCGCAACCATTTCCGATCAAGTTTTGTTAGCACATATCCAAACCAAGTGAGATTAAAAACGTTGACTTTACTTAACCGGTTTAATTAATCGCAAGTGCAACGATTGTTCTTGAGTTTTGATAACCGGGGTAAATACTGTGAATCTGTGTTGTATTAGTGCTGGGAAACTTACATTTTATATTAATCATCGTCACCAATAGCTTACAAAAAAGGTTTCCACTCATTGACGGCGCTTCAAGGACAGTTGTGTAAAGTGCAAAGTAAAAAATCACAACTGCAGTGGGTGATCGTGGATGTTGCTGCGATCTTGGAAGATCTTACTGATTTCGTTGTGATAGTAACAGAGGTTTAACTTACAGATGTAGCTAGACTCACTTTTCCAATGTGTCACTTTTGGTTTCTACTTACTTACATTTCGACAACGATATCGGTACTTTTTCTACTTAGGAAGTAAAACTACAAACGTCCAAAACCCCAGATTTGTGTGTTTTTGGTCACATTTCCTCCGAATGTTTGCTAGATATATGTCGTTTAGAGATTACGTAATCTTTTAAATAAGAAACCTTTGTTTAGATAAAGGTGGTTTCTTTAAACTGTCATTAATATGTTAACATTAAAAGTTGCTTAAAAATAATACTATTAATGGGAAATAACTTTGATTTTCAAAAAGTAAAAAAAAAAATTAAAACCAAGGGAGATTAACTTCGGAACTGCACCACATCAAGTGAAAGTTTTTTTGAGCAAACCATAGTGAGTTTTTAAAGCTTAACGTTGTTAACGTTACATGTTTTGTGGCCTGTGTATTTATTTATTTATATATTTTCCAACGGATTAACAGCTATAATACAGTTTGATTAGAAGGACAGTTTTAATTGATCGTAAGTACTATAGTTATTTTCTTAAATGTAAACGTTGGTTTTTGGTACTGCTACCAAAAATTCCTTAGAACCGGTGGTAGCAGTAAGAACCATTTTTACGTACAAACACATCACTATTTACAACTATAGTTATCGTTAGTGCTGCACCTTATTTCTTATTAAATTTAATTGATGTCTTACTGTATAATTTTTGCATTTTCTGTCTGGACTTCAAAATGTTAGTTTATGCTAAGAAAATTATAAAACATCAGTGAAAGATTTTTTTAGCAAACCATCATGAACTTGTAAAGCTTGGCGTTGTTAAAGTATACATTTTTTTTGGACTGTGTATTTATTTACTTATTTATATATTTGCCAACGGATTTACACCAATTTTACAGTTTGATTAGGCCTAAAAACGATTATCATAAAATTTTATGACACTATCAAAACTTTCAAATAATTATTTTGTTTGTAATTTGCTTCGGTTAAAGCGTAGCAAATCCCCTTATTCAATTCTGTATTTGTGTGAGTGTATGTTTGTTGGTAACGCATTAATGTCCTTATTTCTCAGTGTTTCGTGGAAAAGACAAGAGCACCTTTGTTAAAGAAAATTTCAACCCGAATAAAGTGTGCAGTAGTGAGGTTAAGGTAGTATTTTAATTACTTTTTTTTAGGGATGGACGAGATTGGATTTTTAGTTCCAGACGAGACGAGACGAGATTTTTTATTTCTCATAAAATTTCGAGACGAGATCGAGACGGGATTTCCCTTCTCATACACAACGGGAAATGCACGTTCAAAATTTTTACCTGATTTTGTAACATTGTTAGATGACTGTTTAAATACAAAAATAATGATAATAGGCAAGAATATTTACAATATTTTATTAAAAAACATCAGCATAACATTTTTTTATTAATCACGCCTAACTTATTAAAAATGCCTACGATTAGGAAACATAGTGATATCAGTTAGGATAGAGTTCAACTTATCCTAAAATAAAATAAATCATAAAATAAAAGCAATATTAATTTTTATAAAATAGTTACTTGTGTTGACTTTTTATAGTAATAAAACATTCCTCACACTGCTTACACTTAACAAAACTTCTCAAATGTTATTAAAGTAATATTTACATTTAAAGAATTAATTAAATAAGAACGCCTTCGCAAAGGAAACGCAACTACAACAAGCTCCTGTATTGCGGGTATTGCATTAACTTTCTGCAGGCGTTTTTAATTTTTTTTTTGTTTTTTTCGTCTCGATAAAAATCTTGGCCAAAAAGAAATCTCGTCTCGTGTAACAAGATTTAAAATTTCCCGAAATTTCGAGACTTGACCATCCCTACTTTGTTTTAACCAGTGTGAAAAGTAACTTTCAATTACAGGCCTACCTAAGGGCTATTCCTCATAGATCAATAAAGCAATTCCTTTTATCATTAGATATAAAATATGGACTAACACGATCGGGTGACATTTAATTGCGAAGCATTCTTTTTGGCTTTGAAACTGTCAGATATTGTATTAGTGAAGGTTTATAGGCCTATATATTCCTATACGGTAATAGTTTTGCCAGCATATCTGGAAAAATGCACACTAAATATGCAAACCAACTCCGGTTCTGAATATAAGGTTTCAACTTACTACAAGATTCCCGTACGTAGAACGGGCACACAACTAGTATATATATATATATATATATATATATGTGTCCGTTAGCGCGATAACTCGAGCAAAAATGATCCGATTTTGATGAAATTTGGTACAAATGTGTAAACCTACCTTTATTCGAACGAGTTCGCGATCCAGCATAATCGGACCATGGGAACGGGGGTTTATGAAGGGTTTTATGGGGTAAAAATGGGGTTTTCCCATTTTTGAACCTAAAAACAAAAGATTTTGCAATTTCTTTTTAAACCGTTTTGTAGAGCTTAAAAAAATAAATAATTTAGTATATTGAAGCGCTGTTGTATGCCTAACGGTCACGGAGAAAATTCTAAAATAGTGTTATTTAAAAGTCCCATGTTATTCTTATGGAGAAAATGAAAATTGTTGTAGTTTACTTGTTTATGGATGTATTGATAAAATTTGGCAAATTTATTTATTTCATCCTATAGGCCTACTATTGACGTATGGTCAAAAAACACTTTTTATCTTCCCCGTAGCAGCAAACCTAAGCACTCGTTAAATATCTAATGTTATTTAAATAGGGAATAAATATGTCTTATTTATAGAAATATTTTAGTAAAAATGTAATCGGACAAGTTGAAATTCGCTTAGTCTGCAGGTTTGCTGCGGCGGGGGTATTTTTCATTGTAAGAAGCTTTATAAAAACATACATTGTATCCAAGTTATCCTGTAAAAATTTATTTTACATTTAGAAATAAATTGTTAACTTTGGGTTTTGCTAAAGTGTATATGATGAGTAAAAGTGTAAAAATGTTATATTTCTCTGAATAATAAACAGTAGTTGAAAAAAGTCTTTTATTGCAAGTATTCTTCTAACCTAAACTTATAAAAAAGTTCTTCCCAAACAATTTCACTAATAGGATTAAGTTATGTTCATGGGGGCGGGGTGGGGGGAATTCTAGGTGGTGCTGATTAGGGTGTTCGCTTAACTCTGAAAAATATCTAGAACCGGCCCTACGAATAGCCTTTTTTTGTTTGATAAGAATATAATCCAAATTGGTCTTTGATGTTGCTCCATAAATAGATATTCCATAATATCGCCTGAGACTGCCAGAATACAGGTTTTTATGGGATCGTGCAGAAGATCCTTTCAAAAGTAATGTTTTTCAAAAATGTATACTTGCTTTCTGTGAGCAAGAAAAAAAATTTGTTTGCGGGCGGTACAGTGAGAGGTGGTGAGGGGGTAGCTGTGGACAGGCGACTGTTTTGTGAGTACAGGCCGATCAAAATATATTCTGCGCCACCCAACCAGGTTGTACAGTCCACTCAGTACTCGACGCACTTATTGACAAATTATTGCACAGCACGTAATTAAATATTGTTTTTAATAATTTTTGCAAATCGAGTGTTTGAAAAATCATGTGTAAACGCAAACTCCCTGTGCAACCAAATTTCAATAACAAGTATTAGAGCTGTTCCTGGTCTTGAACAACTCATGGATGAGTAAAAAAAACCCAAACATATTAAATAAACATAAATAAAAAAGTCAAATCGTAATAAGTTCCACAAGTAGAAGGACTAAGAATTGTTTCTTTAAAAACCAAAATTAAAAAATTCCCTGGTGAGTTTTGAAGGAATATATTACCGAGGAGTCCACCGTAGCCACAGCCAATGTCAGCAAATTCAACTCTCTTGACTTGGTTGTTCTCTTTGTCATCTGAATGGAAGAAATGTGGGTACAATGTTGACCAATCCATGTCATCTGGAGTAGCTGGACTGAAACAATAATATTGATTAGGTCTGTCAAAATGGTTTCAAGTTAACAGTTTGAAAATGAACCTCATTAAACAGGGGTGCCTTTCCCCCCCTAGACTCATGACGCACCCACCCCCCCCCCCCCCAATTGAGCACAAGCCCCCCCCCACCATAAATGAGGTACACAACAAATGAGAAACTTAATTACCCCGCCCAGCATTATTTGTCAAGCTAAAATAAGTTTTATAGGTACATTTTTTTAGATATTGAAAATTCAAACCCAGTTAATCTATATAAATAAAGTTATAGTTTTGTCTGTACATTGCTCAGAATTATACATATTTGGGTTATTTTTACGTTTTATACATTAAAGAAGTTGAAACATGTCTTATCTCAATTTATGTCTGGCCCAGAAGGCATTTTACGCAGCCTACTATTAAAGAAAACTAGAGTACCGATTGTGATTCTAATTGTTTAATTGTATTCACAGGATTGGCGAGAGTGTCCTTAGCCATTAAAATATGGCCTCACTATTTTGGAAATAAAATAATGGACGATCAAAAACCCAATTTTGTGTGCTTTTCTCGAGTTTTTTTCTCCATATTTACTACATACGTCATTTATGAAATACTAATAATCTGTTAAGAGAACACGTCATATATGAAATTACGAACAGCTGTTTTGATAAAGATTCCTTTTTCTAGCTGTCACTGATATGTTTACATAAATGTTGTTTACGAATACTGTGTAGGCCCTAGCAATTTCCGATCACGTTTGTAAGCAAATCCAAAACCAAGTGCGATTAATAACTGTGTGGCTTACATAACGGGTTTGATTTATCACGGGTACTAATATGTAACTGTAAATTAAATTAAATAACTAGCCATCATCCACGTCGGGAACCTGAGATTCTGTGTGTATCAAGTTGTACTTGAATTTTGATTACCGGGAAAAGACAGTGAATCAGTGTTGTACAGGACTGGAAAACTTATCTTTCTATATAAATAAAATTAGAGTTTTATAAGTCACCTCAATAAAAGGAATTTTTTATTGCCAGGATATCTACATATTAATGTTCATAACATCCACTTAACGAAATAAAATATATATACATAAATATTTCACCTTTTTTAGGAAACATGACCCAATTTCCACTCTTAGGAACAAAGTAAGGCATACAAATAATAATAGTAATAACTTTTGGTTTTTACATCTGAACATTCAAGGTTTTTGTAATCATTCTACAGATCTGTGTTTTTTACTGGAGAATAGTAGCAACAACATAAAAGTAATATCTCTGAATGAACATTGGTTAAACAAATCTAATATTAATGTATTAAATAAGTTAAGTGGTTTTAAAGTAGCAGACTATTTTTGTAGAGACAGAAAAATTAGAGGAGGTTCAGCTCTTTTGTTATCTCAAGAAATTGAATTTAAAAAAAGAGATGATCTCAAGTTTTTAAATGAAGAAAATAATTTTGAATGTAGTTTTGTAGAAGTTTGTGAATGGAATACATTATTTATTTCAATCTATCGTATACCAAATCTAGACATTGATGACATATTTTTTGAGAAATTTGACTGTCTTTTGTCTAAACTTTGGCATGAGTCTAAGTCAAAAAACATTTTAATAGCTTCAGACCATAATATCGATCTTCTAAAAAACAATAACCGATCAAGAAGTTTACAATACCTTTGTTATCAGTTTGGGTTAAAATACCACTTTTTTCAACCAACAAGAATAACTCCAACCTCCAAAAAAACTTGTATTGATAACATATTTTCTAACATGAAATTGATGTCAGATAAAGCTGAAACCCAAATTATCAATGCAGGTGCATCTGATCATGAAGCAATACTATTATCACTAGCTGACTTAAAACCACTCCCCTCTTCAGCTTTAAAAAGTTCAAATATTTCTTTTAAAAGGTCATTTAATTCAGAAAATTTAAATTATTTCAAAAATAGTCTTATTGAATCAGATTGGAAATTTAATCCTTTTGAAACTGTAAATACAAATTATAATAGCTTTTTAGATTGCATCCTGAAAAATTGTAATCAAGCTTTCCCTCTTAAACAATCAAAATGTAATTCTGTTAAACATGCATGCAAAAACTGGATTACACTTGGTATAAAAATATCCGCTGAAAGAAAACGGCTTCTCCATATAGAGTCAAGATGGAATAAGTCTAAGGACTTCTAAGATTATGTAAAAACATACAGACAAATATTCAAAAAAACAACTGAACTCTCTAAAACGAAATACAATGATCACTACATTAAAAATTCTCTTAATAAGACCACAGCAACATGGGAGATTGTTAAGAGACAACAAAAGGAAAAATCTGAATTACCTTATCATGTTCAAAACGATTCCTTGAAACTTACACATTTAGCTAATAATTTCAACAACCATTTTCTATCTGCACATACATCAGTAGGGTGTAGTCCTAAAGCCAAAGAGGCTCTGAATTTTATAGATTCAAAGTACTACAAAAATACATTTAAATTCAAATTAATTACCGAATCAGAAGTAAGGAAAATTGTATTTTCCTTAAATAACACAAGATCTGTCGGATGGGATCAGATTCCATTGTTATCACTTAAGCATGTAATAGATGAAATACAAACTCCTCTCTGTAATCTCATAAACCAGTCCTTAATACACGGTATTTTCCCAAGCAAACTAAAATACTCAGAAATTTTACCACTCCGTAAGAAAAATGATAAAAACACTTTAGAAAATTACCGCCCACTAGCTATGCTCTCAAGTATATCTAAAATATTCGAAAAATGTGTTGACCTACAATTGAGAACTTTTTTAGAAGATAATAATATTTTTAATGATTCCCAATTTGGATTTAGAAAAGGAGTAAGTGCTCAACAATCAATGACTAAATTAGTAAACTGTGTTGCGAGTTCCTTGGATGGATCTCAGAAGACAACTGGAGTTCTGTGTGATCTAACCAGAGCTTTTGAATGTGTTCATCACAGTTTGTTAATAGACAAACTTGAAAAATATGGAATAAAAAACAAGGAACTAAATTGGTTTTCTACATACTTGAGGGATAGATATCAAAGGACTAAAATTATCAAATTTGGACATACTATAAATTCTAATTGGAAAAAAGTTGAAGTTGAAAAAGCCTCAGGGATCAATATTGGGCCCCTGTCTATTTCTTATTTATGTAAATGACCTACCAAACGTGTCAAAGATGGATATATTTCAATTTGCTGATGACACAATGCTGTTATGTATGGGACCCAATGTTGAATCCCTGCAGCACACAGTAGATACAGAATTGGCCGCTTTAAGTGACTGGTTTAGAGTAAATGGGCTCTCCTTGAAAATGGACAAGACTCAAGTAGGCTAGTTAATTTTCGATCAGATCATAGAAATAGTTCAAAACAGACCACTTTTACAAATCATCAGTTAATGTCTGAGGAGACAGTCAATTTTTTGGGTATTCATATAAACAAAAATCTTGACTGGCTTCCTCACATTGACAAACTACGGAAAACACTTTCTTCAGCACTATTTTCTCTCAAAACAATTTCTCAAGTTACAGATACTAAAACTCAATTAACAGTTTATCATTAATATTTTTCATCTTTAATGTCATACGGAATACTTGTCTGGGGAAATTCTTGCCATGGTAAGAAGATATTTAGGCTTCAAAAGAAGGCACTTAGAATAATAGCTAAAGTACCCCGAAGAAGTCCATGCAAAATCATCTTTCAGGCTTTTAGCGTTTTGACATTTTATGACCTGTATATTTTAGAAGCATTATTTTGGGTATTCAACAATTTGTCCATTTTCAGGGAGGGTCACACAAACCATAGGTATAACACTAGACATAAGAACCTAATTAAGCCCACTAGCCATAGATTATCACTATTTGAAGCATCACCTCAATATATTGGACCAAAATTGTATAACTTGGTTCCTGATCATTTAAAAAACATCGCAAATCCAAAAAAGTTCAAACAAAAATGTAATGAATGGTTACTGACAAAAACATTTTATTCTTTAAATGAATTTTTAAGTGGAAATTGGGAGGGTTAAGTGTTGAAATTATTTTATTTAGAAATTTTACTATTTAGATTTAAGTATTATTATGCATTGACAAATGTCCTGTCATTTTATGATGTAATGGCATTCTGTAAATAAATAAAAATAAAACAAATTTTCAGCCTCTTTCTCTTGATATAACGATCCGCTCTCCCTCCCACATAATCGTTTTGGAAACATCACAGCTCCTTATGATGAAAATGAAATGGAAAAATGACTTCAACTTCAACGCTTGCGCCAACAATCGTCTGCTGCGTTTTACACTTTTGTCTGCTGTGCGCTATGTTACAATAGATTTCAGATACAACAGCTGGGGAATTATGACGATATACAGTAATGCTCAGTAAACTGTGATTGAGTGATTAGTAACCATGGTAACTTTAGTAAGGCTGTGATTGGGCAATGAGTGGGCCTAAATGGCGACTTGTTGAATTTGTGTATGAATTAATTGAAGAGAAACCTAATAAAAAACAGAAGAACAAAGAAAAAGAATAACAAGATTGTTCTCATTACATTCTTTTTCAAGAGTGTTTTTATTATCTCTAATTTAATTTTACACTTTATGACTTTTTTATCTATACACTTTTTAGCGAATTTCCCTATAGGGAAGTAGCTATTAACATAGGTGGCACGGTAAGACCTAGGCCCGGGACTGATTTACTTTTTCATTTTGATGTCCCCAGTGGCCAAAAACACCATTCGTTCAAATTTTTATATATGTCTATACCTATATATATATAGATTTATTATTATTTTCTTGCATTTTTAGGGCTAGATATATATATATATATATATTGTATTTGATATTGTTCACGTTTAGGGCTACTGTAATTAATATTAATAAATAATACACCATAGTACCCTTTTTTTATTTTTTTTTATTAATTATTTTATTAATTAAAATTAATTGTACAAAAAAAAAATATTTAAAAAAGGGTACTATGGTGTA